ATATAAGTCCAGGAAACCCGCCAGCATCTGCAAACAACTCCGAACATTGACGATCTCCCGCTGCAAACTTTTTGTCTGAGATTACAGTCGGTGGGACAGAGCACGGAGCGAAACCACCGAGGCGCGTTCACGGACAACTCGGAAAAAAATACAACTCAAACACTTTATCTGACAGGTAACTCCAAGAACCAAATCAATGGAGTTCTGAGAGATTTAACCCCAAGTATGTTTAGTTTTCCTCCAGATTTCCTTTAGTTTTTTTTAAGGAATTTTTGTACCTTTTTTCACGTTTAATAAGCGCCTAAACTAGTAAATGCAACTTGAAATATACAGCAAAAACTGTATGTTGAAAGGCTACTGAATGCTAACTGCTGACAGTAAACAGCTCTGGGTGTTAAATATAGAACTAGTAACCCACTGTTTAACCTTATGTATTTAGCTGACAGGAAACAGGGCAACACAAGACGCTTAGAAAACAAGAAAAAAAACCTTAACATCAGAAATAATCACAGTATATAAAAAATAATATACAATCCTCAGTTTTATGCACAGCTAAACAAGATTTGAACATTGTCAGAGTAGAAGCCTGTTTCACTCAAAGATGCTTCACACACGTCACTTTTGTTTCACTCCATGGTGGGAAACACTACACACACACACATTGATATTGTGTCAATGATCAATAATAATCAACATTTGTGTTTATGTATATAGTATTTTAACAGGTAGGACTCCTTCATGGGCGCTGTGTTTCAACACAACACACAAAATACAATGATTATCTAAATTTTTCACGTGCAAAAATGTGTCAAAGTAATACTAAACTACAGAATTCCTAAATTTTGAAGCAAGAGTTGCGTAGAATCCCATAGCCTTGAACGCGCCCTGCTGCTTCCATTCTCCGTCAGAAGCGCAGTGTGAACTGTGGAGCTGTGGACAGGAGGACAATAACCTCTGGTCTGCTCTTTGTGTGTCACCACATCGGAATGCACCAATAACTTCTCACAAAAAGACAGTTTAATACACACAACATATACTTTACTTTGTTTGCTGCACACTGCCGACCGGGGCGGCACGGTGGCTGAGTGGATAGCACTCTCGCTTCTCAGCAAGAAGGTCCTGGGTTCGAATCCCGGTCGGACCAGGGCCTTTCTGAGTGGAGTTTGCATGTTCTCCCCGTGTCTGCGTAGGTTTCCTCCGGGTACTCCGGTTTCCCCTACCACTAAAAATATGTCCAATAGTTCTGGCATGCGCCTCCTGTACTGGCGACCCCGCTCCCATCTCTGTGTGGAGTGAGAGATAAATGCCCAAAAATTAACAATTGTAAACCGCTTTGAGACTCAGATCTGCAGTGAAAAGGCGGTATATAAATAAAGATTACTTACTACTACTACTACTACTACCTCACTGGGCCTGCATCTGTGCAATAATGTGCAATACTGTCAGAATGTGCTGCTGACCTGTAGTATATCATCCCTGAAAATGTTTGAACCTACACAGAGCTATTAACGTATTACTTCAATATGTGTGTACTCGAGTGTATACAGATATCTACAGTATCATGGATTCCATTCAATTTCATTTTCTTCCCTTTCATCCGTTGCCAGGTTGCGGGGGCAGCAGTAGAGAAGAGATGCCCAAACTTCTCTATCCACACACACTTCCTTCAGCTTGTATGGGGGGACCCCATGCGTTCCCAGGCCAGAGAGAGACATAGTCCCTCCAGGGTGTCCGGGGTCTTCCCCGGGGCCTCCTCCGGGTGGGACGTGCCCTGAACACCTCCCCAGGGAGGCATCCAGGAGGCATCCTAAATAGATGCCCAAGCCACCTCAACTGGTTCCTCTCAACGTGGAGAAGCAGCGGCTCTATTCTGAGCTCCTTCCGTATATCACCCTATCTCGGGAAGCTCATTTCGACCGCTTGTATCTTGGATCATTGAACATGGATACAAGTATTTCTTTGCACTATGTATGCAGGTTTATATGTGTAAACCTCTTGGATCGGTCTTCCTGAAAATATGAGACAGGCTTCAAATTCAGACTCTGTTCAAATCCAAATTCTGTTTAGCTGTGCATATTCACAGATTATTTATTATTTGAATGCATTTTGTGATTGTTGTTGCACTTGGAGTCGGCTTTATACACAAATAAACTCGCTATACTACTTATGGTGTGTGCTCCTCATTCCTACTCTTCTGTAACTTGTGATGCAACACTGAAATTCCCCACTGTGGGACGGTTTTATGGCTCAAACTCAATCTCCAAAAGCATCGTTGACTTTCTGCACGGTTCCCCGTGGAGGACGCAGGTCGGGGATCCAGCACGTGTGGGGGATGCCCGCTTTCCACAGCCTTTAACTGCTTCACTTTCACGGTGGAAAACTGGGGATTATTTTCCATTTCCCGAGCGCTGCCGCTGCTGCACTCTGATGGGAAAGCTTATGGCATGTGACAGGAATGTGCAATCCCCTCTCACTCCCTTCACCCGCCGCCCAGGTCCACTCTGGAATCCCCGTCTCCCAATGTCCACAACGACCGCATAGTTTAGAGTTGCGTCACTAATATTTTGCTTAGATAAGTGTTTGTGATGATGTCGAATGGATGGAGATGCGTGATGACGTCATATTGGCAAGGCAAGTTTATTCTTTATTGCACAGGTCAGATAAGATAAGATATGCTTTATTTATCTCACAAGGATAAATTTACAGACAAAGCAAGTCAAAGGGCTTAACAAAACACCATATAAACAATTATACAAGGAGTTTAATCATAAACATTAATAATCATAGTGCATTAAAAAGAGTGAAAATACAATCCTTCAGTTGTATGCATACCAGCAGAAGAACTGTATTTAACCTGGATTTGAAAATTGTCAAAGTATAAGCGTGTCTCACATTTTCACGAAGATTCCGCATTCATCTGAAAAGTTTAGTCTTGACTCTGGGCGCCAACAAGAGGCCAGTCCCTGTGCTCCTCAGAGTCCGACTTGGTTCATATGGCACTAACTTTGTTATGACAATAATCATAATCATAATAATAAGACTGACTTAGGGATGGCTTTATTTGCTGTAATATGCTTAGTAAACACAGCGCGCTCTGCCCCCTGCTGTTTAAAAAGCCTTATCACATGAAAAGGGAAAATATTTGTCTAGATAAGAAGTCTGGATTAGAAATAGAATATTGATATCTGTGTGAAGGTTAAAGCTGGGGTACCTCACATCTGTTTGTCCCGAAAGAAGGAGTCTTGTAAAAATGCTGTGAACAAATCAGACCAAAACCTGTTATCATCATCCTTATGTTTTATGCGTACAGGACCCTGGGAGTCACTTTATGACCCTTTGGGCAGAGAACTGATTCTCTGAACTTCTCTTTGTCACTTTTCTGTCTGAATAGCTGATCTAAAGATGTGACGAGGCCAAACAGACTTAAACTAGTGAAATAAAATGTATTACAGTAAAGATACATGTTTGAACTGACACACATAGGTGCACTGACTGTAATTGTAGCAGAAATATGTTTGACTGTGATTTGGTGAAACCTGTGAGTCGTAATGTTTGAACCGAGCGAGTGAACGCACAAAGCAGTGGTGACAATAGTGACAACACACAACAGTAAACAATAGCACACAATCCTCTGCAGCAGGTGTGACGCGCGGCGCGCAGCAGCGGCCTGACTCAGGCGTTTGTGAAAGGCTTTTAGGGACAAAAGACCACAACACTGGAACACAATATGTACCTGTGCTTTCAAAGGGAAACTACCATAAACAGTGAAGAGAACACTTTATTGAACAATTGTATGAATACTATCTTTAAAGAAATATAATCCACTAATACACGTTTATGAAAAGGCATGAATACAAAACAGTCTTAAGGCGAAGGCTTACATCTTCAAATTGACATAATAACTGAGTTATTACATAACAGCACATTACAGCTCAAAGGAAACAAAACAAGTCTCTCAGGACACACACGTTGCATAGTAGGTCTGGATGAGGATCAAACTGCACATACTGTATACAGGTGTTATACAGCACTTGAAATGTCCTTTGTGTAAAAGTGGCTTTAACATCTCTCACTGTTTAGGATAAACACAAACTCAGACTGTTCAGATTCAATACTAAAATGAAGCAAATGCAAAAAAAATATAAGCTATAGTTCACCTGGGACTCTGCTGGTTTTGTGACTCCAGCCCAAAGTAGAACGTTCTCTTAAAAGATACAATACTTTAGTAGCTTAAATCTATGAGAAAATTAAATAAATAAAGAGCGCTCATCTGCAATGACGCCTGATCGTCACGGCTGACACAACACACAAAGGCAGCTGGAGGTATCGCCTGAAACCTGCACCGACATTAAAACTATGGGAAATATGGATGTGTGCATCAAAGTAGATCCTCAAGTACGGGTCAGTGACTGATGCTGAGGCTGCAGCACAGCCACATGTCGAAGGCACATGTTTCCTACAGGGCTGGAGACCTTTGCATGACAGTGTTTTACACTTCCAATGATAAAGTCCCTGAATGAGGTTTATATACTACAATCTCTATATAGGCTTCAGAAAAATGACGCTTCCTGTCCTCGGACAATAATAAAGTGCTAACAGCTCCCAGTGAGACCTTTGTTACACACTGAGAAGAAGAGAACACAACAATGGTGTAAAGGGAATAAGTGCTGACTCTTGTATAAAGAAATGTTTTGGGTAATAGGTCACATGTTCGGATCTAATCCTCATGTGACAGCTCCAGTGGCACTGGGGAAACCTCCCACAATGCTCAGTGAGCTGTTTCCACCACATCTTTCCATTGGCACACCAACACAATCATTCTGATAGTTTTGAAACAATATATGTATAATTTTGTAGAAAAGCAAAACCGTATAGGTTACTTGTATAATGCATAGAAACATGGTATAATGCATCTGTTGCTGTCTCTGATCCTAATGAGATTAAGCATTAAAGTTATTCAAGTATTGATATATTATTTGATTGTCAAAATAAATAAATACTCAGCTTTTGCGCGAGTTGACGTACCACTTCCTAAGTGCTATTCCACTGGTGCTAGCGACTACACACAGCGCTCCCCCCAGGCTCCACCAGGTGGGGGCACGGTTAAAGAAGATGAACTGAAAAGTAAAGGCTAACACTACGTCCACAGTCCTCATCAGAGCCACAGGTCCAGCCTTCTCAATCTGCAGCGCCTTCGTGAGGAAGGACTGGCCGGCAATGCCCAGCACCGCAATCAACATGAGAATCCAGCGATCGCGGCCACATGCGGGGATCTTCCACTCCCCAAGGACGGAAACAGTAATAATGCACTCTATCAGTCCGATGACGGCATAGTACCACACAGAGAGGTAGTAGTGGACACTCTTCCCAATCTTCCGAAGCACCACTATAGTGCACGCAGCTCCAATGGCACCTGGGAACGTTCAAACAAGAGAGTAAGGACGATGAAATGAAATGAGTGAAATGAGTGATTGTGGCACCTGCAAATGCAGCGATCGCCCCCTTAATGTGGTTGCTGTAGTTGCTCTCGATGCCACTGAGGTGCTTTCCAAATATAAAAGGTGGTCGGGCGATGAGGATGACCCCAGTGAGGGTGAAGATCGTGAAGAAACAGTCCCAGAGAGTGCACTTCTCCTTCAGGAATATCCACGCCAGCACGGACGTAAACACTGGGTTGCTGAAAGGAAGTCAAAGGAATTACAGATATTTCTACAAAGTAAAGTGAATGTAGAGAAAAAAAAGTCTCTAAAAGTGTGTTCACCTAAACATGATGACAGTAGCATCAGCTAAAGGCATTTGCTGCACAGCGTAGAAGAGCAGGATCATGGCGTTGGAGCCGATAAAGCCGCGCAGTAACAGATAGATGCGTTTATCTCTGGGGCCGATGAAGCCTGTCCTGAAGAACCAACACATGACTGTGAGGACGAGGCTGTGACAATGTGGCCGGGAATATATTTACTTTGTTGCTTTGATTATGATTATTTACCAGAAGTTCATTCACTTCAGTGTCTCTGAATATATACAATATTTCAACAACTGGACTTAAATCAGTGCTTAGCTTGAATAAAACAGGGGATTTCTGTATAAAGTTGTAAAAATACACACTTACTTGTAATAAATGAGCAGTGGTGCAACAAAGAGCATCTGGAAGAAACATCGAATGCCACTGATCTCTATGGCGTGAAGTCCCTGGATGGTTTTGACCAGAAGAGCAATAATGGAGAAAAATACAGTGGACAGAAAGGCATAGAACAAGCCAAGACCAGGACATCTCTTTGGTTTCTCTGTGTCTGTAGGGAACAGAGAAACACCACATGAAAAGATCTACTTACACATACTTGATTATCTTATCTGTCGAATATCAATACAGGAGGGAAAAAGGAAAAGACAATGTTTCACATTGAGCTCTTGGACAATGTTGTCAAAACTCTTTATTATGAGAGCCCCTTTGTTTCTTGTCCAGGGGCCGACAGCATGGATTAATAACTGTTTGACTGGATTCTGTCTGTTCTGGGCTTTATACATGGTCTTTGATAGATCCATTTGATTCACACCACAGCTGCATTAGGGCCATATGTAGAATCTTCAACAACAACTGTCAGTATCTACAAATTAGCCTGGTCGTACCACACCATAGTACAAATTACATTTAGGAAATGATGATTGAGCGGAGTGTATGGATGGCTAAGGCCAGGCTATCTACAAATAAACTCAACCACTGGATTCCAAATGTTCTGAGCTTTAAAACGAGGCACAGTGTGACTAAATTGACGGAGCTGAAGGTGGCTGAATGACACTGTCAAAGTACCTCATGGGCTAGTTTGTGTTAGCGGCAGAGGGCCACATAACATCACACAGCGGGCTGCATTCAGCCCCCGGGCCTTAGTTTGGACTTGCCTCCTATAAACCATACAATACAAGAAAATGTTCCAGTTTATGTAGAAATCTTTAAAGACTATTATTGATATTTCAAATGGATTAATAAAAGCCTATACAAGCCAGTCATCTGAGATGATGCCTACATGATAGTAATGGTGATGGTGGTGTAGCTTAATGTGTTTTTGGCACAAGTTTCTTGCGCTGGAAACTGACAATGCATTCTTCCCTAAAGAGCACTACTAGCTTCATATAAGCGCTCACACAACTGAGTGGAGATAGTCAGGTCATTATACTCTATGACACACATGATAAGAGCATTATTAGATAATCGCAGTGACGTAGAGCGTGCGTGGGACTCCCAGCCTGCTTTAGTGGCTGTTTAAGGAATTGAAAACAGAATCTGAAAACTTCCATATGTTCGTTAAGTTTCTAAACACGCTCCCCGTGTGTACCTTCAGTCGCTCTCTCTCTCCTTGACGATGATGATGATGATGCTGTGTTGCCTCTGACGCAAAACGCCGGCGGACATAGCGTATTCTTGGGGAGCTTTTCCGGTGGTGCGCGCTGGCCTCTGCTCTCCTCTTCCTCTTCCTCTTCTTCCTCCTCATGGTCGTCTCCAGCTCCTTCTCTCGACGCGCTGCGATCACTGCGTAAAGGACGCGTCTGTGCCATCTCTTCATCGAAACAGTCGCCCTGGTCGTGTGCGCCATGGCTGTCCTCGTTACAGAAGGCTAAAGTTATGCCGTTCTCCAGGGTCAGTGCCCGGCGTGCGCACTGCTCGCTGTCTCCCATGGTAAGATGTGGCGAGGAGGCAGCATGCCGTGGACCCGCTACCGTCTCTCTCTTGCCTTCGTCCTGAGCTGGCCACAAGACAAGGTTAATGACTAACCTTGGTGACAGGACAGGGACGCCAGCTCTCCCACATGCACCGGTCACTTAAACCCACAGGGGGGCAGAACTGAACCCGGTGCTGCGCGGCTGGACAAAACCTGAGCCGAGGTCCCCGCCCACCTCCGGGAGCGCATGTGGTGATGCTGTAGCAGGGACCACCGCATGGGTATAATATGGGCATACATATCACCCAAAAGCATTAAAAACCTTAACGTACTTTGAGACATTCTACTTTTAAATCCATCCTCTGCTAAATACATATTATTATTTTTTTATTTATTTTTTTCTAAGTGAAACATTCATATGTATATAGTAAATTTACATTATTGAAGAGACTATTGCGTTATTTTCCAGACAGAACCGAAAAAAGGCTCAATCATGGATCTGTTTTAAATGCATATACAATAGTTCTATGGGTTCAGTACGTGTTGTGATGCTTGGAGGAATCAGAATTCCTCCATGCCTCCAGGAGAATCAAGAGAATCACTATCCTTTTGATGTTCTGGAAACTGACAATCCAAATAAACGTAACTTTGGCCCCTTGAGCTGAGGTACAGTATAAGAACAAAGTGAGGAGGAAATACTTTACCGTTTCATTGTCAAAGGTGCATTCCTCAGCTGGGGGCCACTTTTAGCTTAGATTCAGCTAAATGTTGTAAGTTCAGCCTTGGTATGTGTGAAGTTTATCATTAAATCCAAGAATATTTGAAATAAGGAGGTGAATTCACTTGGCTAAGTTACAAGTTACATCTGTAGAGGCCAGTGTTATCACTTTAAAACAAAAATGTGTTGAAATAATCATAATTACGGAATGTAAAGCAATAACCACAGTGTCTCCACTAGGACAGTAGAGAAATGCACGTTCAGACTAAAACTAAAAGATCACAAAGATTCCAATGAAACAATGAAACATATTTTACACATTATTTATTACTACTTTTACCAAAAATAGGCTAATATCCCCTTCTATGTAAGACATTATTGAGGAAAGGCTAAATATCTATGATCTAAAACTAGTCTTCGCAAAGCCTACAACAGCAATATTATTATTATAAATATAAATTACTTTACAAAACATATCCGACAATGGCAAATTGGACCGAAAAGAGTTAGAAGAACAATGTGTTGAGTGTGTGAGTCTCGCAAACAGAGAAAATACAGGTAGTGGGTTAGGGTAAAAACAACACAAGTGTGCACAATGGGAGAGACAAGGTCAAGTGTACTGTGAAAGAGAGCACACACAGTGGGACGCTTCTAGCAACTTATTCATCCAGAGGTATTATTGTCAGGGGCCTTTCGCAAAAAAACATGTGATATGAGTTTTTCCAGGACTTGGATAACTCCTTCCCACCAAAAAAATTCAACTTGACCTAGTTAGACTTTGTATGGACTCCACTTCATATCATATCTTACTGTTTGACATTTCCTTTGTTTATATCTTTTTTCATTCCCTCTGCCTCTCAAAGGAATTGCCCCTGATGGGATACATAAAGTAGTCGGAATGAATCTGAACGATGCTTGAAATAAATAAGTTCTAAAGCAGGGATGTCAAAGTCAAATACATCAGAGGCCAAAAAAGCAAATTTGCTACGAGCCCAGGGCCGGACTGGTTCAATGTTCATTAAAACTTATTCAAATAATCGCATAAAACCTATTGACCCAAGACATAACACAGTGAATTATAATATTATTCATGATTAAATGCATAATTCCATATTTTGTATGGCTCTGTCAGTAATTCCAAGTGAAAACATGTTTAAACAGGCTAACACAAATCAAATATCATCCCGGGGCTGAGATAATTAATATGCGGGCCGGATCTGGGCCCCGGGCCTTGGCTTTGACACCCATGTTCTAAAGACAGGACAATCACAGGACAAAACAGAGGCTAAAACAGATCGGAATGAGGACACGACAGTCTAGACGCCTGAGAACAGAGACAGCCGAACACCACTGCATCCACTTTGAAGACAAAAATAAACTATATACATTTGGAATGGCGAGTTGAATTGGATGTTTGTGTCCCCGATCTTTCACTTTAATTACTGAGATCAATCATGAGGTGCTCGTAGATTTGCGTCTTCCCCTTGAAGCTGGATGCAAACAGAAAGACGCGCTCGTCGATGGCGGCCAGAGCGAACCCCCTGGGAGCCTGGATGTTCAGCTCCTGGGACGAGACAAAGTGGCCCCTCTTGGTGTCCCATTGGTAGACCTGAGTCAGGGAGTAGTCGCTGCCCAGAATGGCGTACTGCCAGTTGCCAATGGCGACGGGCTGAAACACCATGGAGCCGCGAGAGGGGAATGTCTGGACCTCTTTGAACATGGCCCCGTCCCAGCGCATCACCTTGGAGTCCCCAATGAATCTTGTCAGGCAGATAAACAGTTCACCTTCAAAAGGAGAGAGCGGACAATATGTTTACTGTTGCATTCTGGGAGGCGGCTGAGGTGATGTAACGGGTCGTCAGGATGTCCCCCAACCACTCACTCTAAAAACACTTGACAAAATTGTGTTAATGAAAAATAAGAATAATGATAAAGAATAATAAGAAAAATCAAAGAAAGATATTATCTGTGTCAACAATTCCATGCAATGAAACACCATGGATACCTGGTCGTCGTGTGAATGTGTGTGTGTTTATGTTGGGAAGGGAGGACCCGAGGGAGGAGAGGAAAGGGGACTAAAAATGTAAAATATTTGTGCATTTTTTCTCTGCTCTGTAACTTCTTTGTCATGTTGTTATGCAGCGCAACACAATCAATATTTGATAAAAAAAAAAAAAGATTTGTATTACATATGTGACGCTCCGGTTCGTGGGCCAAATCTGACCTGCAAGACCATTTTTAGTGGCCGCTGAAATGAATTTCAATTATCATTATTATTTTACAGCTTTGATGGTTAAGGGCGACCAAGAAATAAACAAAAAATATGAATAGTTAATTCAAAAACAGATAAGTGCCACTGGAAAAGTATTTGAATTACAATTTGCCCTTTACCAAGAACCAGGTCTATTTTAGTGCCATACAAATAAAGTTTTAAAGTTGGTCCACTTCTGGTTTTCAGAAAAATCCACCAAAAAATAATAGTGAAACTCACGTCATAATAAACTAAAAAGGTCAAAATACCTTCAAAAAGAAAATGAAATCCCTTCTATTCTTTTGGCCCCGATCATTTCTTATTCTTTCACCGGCTCCTGAACAAAATGAGTTGGACCCCTCTGATATGAACTCTTGTTTTCACAGTTTAGTTAAGAAACACCAGGTGATAATGAAGGACCAGAAAACCAACATGTGACTATAAGTGCCTGTTCCCACGGCAACATGTCACAAGGTCAGCACATGTGTCTCTCTTTCCAGGAGGAGGTCTATTCTAGAGTCTGAATGTGTCATCTGACGTTACGCTTGTCTGTGCGCCTCTAAACAACAGTTATTTATCATTGGTTAGAGGTGGATTCTTTATTCATTGTTTCAGTAATAGTGAGTTAGTAATATTTATTTATATAGCACTATTCACAGACCAGAGTCACAAAGCACTTTACATTTTGTCTCTCACTCCACAAGAAGATGGGAGCGCACATAGATTGTACTGCTGTTTTTAGTGGTAGGGGAAACCCGGAGCACCCGGAGGAAACCTACGCACATGGGGAGAACATGCAAACTCCACTCAGAAAGGCCCTGTTAGATTGTTACAGCCCTAAAAGTTACCTCAAAACATTCCAGAGCACAATATTACTGTAAAAACTGATAATAATTACTGTATGTGTTTTTAGTTTGTGTCAATGGACAAGATGAAAAAATGAAAATATAACAAAAACGCTACAACCAAAAATAATACAAATAATAAAAGAAAATAAAAACTGGTGCTAGATCTGCGGGTGATTGGCTTTCATTGAAGGCAGATTACGATAGAGGGAGCTGGAGTGGAAAAAAATCGAAAAGATAGCAATAAGATTCGTCTCAGAGTGGAGAAATGTCATACTTTCAATTATCAATATTGGTATCGGGATAATCGACGCCTGAGTAGAGGACTTCTTACCTCTACTCACTGACTCAGTCTCTATGATGTCATGGTGTGGGTTTTATTTTTGTATTTTTGTGTTATTTTGAAATTGGTTCTCTGTGATTTGGTTTGTAGTTGTTGTTCCTGTCTTGGTTGTCTGCCCCGCCCTGATGTGTTTCACCTGTGTCTGTGTCTGTATGTACCCTGTGCTTCTCTCCCCTTGTTGCTGGTCCATTGTGTTGTCTTTGTTCTTGCCTTTGTTCCTGGTCTCGTTTTTGGACTTTTGTTTTTTCATTATTAAATCATTTATATATTTTCATTCCTGCATTTTGAGTCCTCCATCTCTCATGACATATGAAAGTGGAGGAGATATTCTAAATGTGTCACTTTGTCCCGAACCCTCGTGCATCACCGGACACTGTTCTGTAACCGCTGATGCAACACTGACATTTCCCCACTGTGGGACAAGTAAAGGATCGCTTCATATTAATCTTAATCTGTATTCGGAAATTGAAATTGATCAATTATGTAATCAGGCCTTTATAATTGTTTAGAACGTCCACTCCAGACATCATTATAATTGTACAAATCTGTGTTGTCAGGATCAGATACTGATGTGGGACTGATCTGCCACTAGACTAGATTTAATTATTTTGTTTTATCTTGTATATGCTTATATGAAAATCTACACTGTAAAAAAGGATAAACTATGAAGTTATAAATTCTTGAATCAAGTGTTTTTTCATCTTAATTTGAGTTCATTCTAACTTCAAACGAGATTTGCCGATGGGACAAAGACAATTAGTCTTATTTCAAGAAATGTTGCTATTTTTTCTCATTCCAAGGGAGACATATCATGTATCTTTTTAAGTCAAGATAATTGTGCTTTGTCCCATTGGCAAATCCTGTTTTAAGGCAGTCAGAATGAAACCAAATTATGATACATTTTGTCAGATTGAAGCAACACATTTTTAGAACTTTCTGCAGTGTACCTTACGTTCTAGTCCCAACCCTAACTGCAGCTCATCCTTTGATAATACAATAATGCTACAATACTACGATGCTAGCATGGGTGCGTTACATATTCCTCTCCTCTGACCTTTGACGCGGAAGTGCTTGACGGAGAAGACGTCCTCCATGTCGGGGATGTCGGTGCGGCGCTCGAACAGCTTCATGCTGCGGTTCCACTGGTACACCACGGGCCTCTGCGAGCTGCTGGACAGGATCAGGTGAGGCTTCCCCGACATCTCCACGTACTCCACGTCTGTGTCCCGGTACCAGGGGTGCAGGGACTGGTGCGAGTAGAAGCCATTCCCGTTCCACTTGTACACTGTGGTGGAGCCGGCCTGGGATACACACGGGATATCGACATTTCCAAACACTGTGCTCAATCATGGACGTTATTTTATTTGAGTTATTGTTCATTTATCTTTATATGAATATTTATATTATGCTGTGTGCTCCTCATTCCTAAAGTTCTGTTACTTGAGATGCAACACTGACATTTCCCCACTGTGGCACAAATATAGGAGCTCTTAATCCTAGTCTTAAACATGGGGTGGGGGCATATTGTTCCATGTATTTGCTTTATTTATTCAAACATAGAGTACTTGATTATAAGGTGAATACATTGTGAAAATATATTGACACTTGCACTGCAAAAATGATACAATATGAGGAAATAAATGCTTGAATCGAGTGGTTTTATACAATATTTGCCAATGGGACAAAGCCATTTAGTCTTAATTTAAGAACTGTGGCTTTATTTTCTCTTTCCAAGGGAGACATTTCTTTTTAAAACAAGATCATTTTGCTTTGTCCCGTTGGCAAATCTTGTTTTAAGACTGCCAAAAAAGTGCTCAAATGAATGCCAAATGTGAGCACTTTTTGACAATGTGGTGACTGCTGTGAGACACTGCTCATGTACAGTGTATGTATAAAGAAGGGTCTAAGGACAGTGATGATTTAGGACATTTACCCTTTAATTTTTCACATTTTGGGGGGGATTTCCTAAGATGTGGGAGCACTAAGAACACTAATTATTTATTTTTTATGTCTTGTCTTTGTTTTTGTTTTGTTTTTAGATTAAATTATAGGCCTTTACTAAATGGTTGAAATACAGTTTAGCAAAAGTGGCTAAAACCAAGTGAGATTCTCCAAAATGTCTGTTCCAAGCTTCATGTAGATAAAGTGACTCAAAAGGTGATCCACCAAATGAGGAAACCATTAAAGGGTAAAAGACATATTTGGGCAATTATTAACAATTATGGAGAGTGGTCATCCCGCTCCTGACAAACCAATGGCTCCTATGTGTTTGTTTTTATTGCATTTCCTGTGTTTAAAGTATTGGATTCTCTGACATCTACGTAAAGCCCTTTTAGACCCCTGCTGTTGTGATTTAGGGCTATACACAAATAGATTGAATTGAAAATTTTAAATAAATAGTGCTCGATAGGATATAGCTCCACAAACTTGCCGTCAAAGTAAAAGTATATCTAATGTCACCTGTAAACTTTGGTACTCACTTTGGAGCTGTCCGCGATAACGAAGAAGGATTCCCCGTCGATCACAAACGTCTCGATGTCGTTGGGCTTACGGATCCTCAGGATGTCGATGTCCTGGATCTTGATGAACTTATTGGCCGATATGTCGCGCTTGTAAATGTGGGAGCCCCCGAACAACTGAGCCACAATGATGAAGAGGTGGTTGTCGATGACCATGGGCTTGCAGACCACTGTGGACGTGCCTGGAAGGAGAGACTTGACTTAGAATCAGATGAATGTTCATACTTCGCCCACAAGAATCTAACATTTTTCAAACATCACACATTTTTATGCAATTTTTCTGTGGATTATTGTGGTGTGTCTAATAATAATGATAATAATAATGCATTGGTTTTATGTAGAGTTTTTCAGGAAACTCAAAGACGCTTCACATGTCCTTATTCTTTCACTCCATACACGGTGGTGACAAACTACAACTATAGCCACAGCTGCCCTGGGGCACAGTGACAGAAGCAAGGCAACTAGTATGTGCCATTGGCCCCTCTGACCACCACCAACCATAAACACACACACCAGACTCATTCTAGACAATGTGGGTAAAGTGTCTTGCCTAAGGACACAAGAGCAGTTTGGCATTATACAGCCACAGCCGCCCCACTGTTGCACCTGGTGTTCCCAGAGGTCTCCCATCACAGTACTAACCAGACCCTGCCCTGCACAGCTTCAGAGGTCTGACAGGATCTGGTTTTCGCATGCAAGTCTAGTATTATTTTTAACCAAACTGTAAAGCACTTTTTTGTTTGTAAAGCGCTTTATAAAAAAAAACCTTGACTGATTTGATGTCGACATTTAAATCTTACTTTCAATTGTGTCAAAAGTCCTGAAATTCATCTCCACATGGTCCCACTCCAGGAAACTGCAGGTCCCAGCGAACGGTTGTGCAAACACCACGAACTGGTCCATGCCAAAGGTGAAGGCCTCCACCGAGATGGACTCAAACTTCAATGATTGATAGGAGGCAAACTCTGGCAACACAAAAAAACGCACACATGATGACGGTAAACAAGGGTATAGACTCTGCTTCTGTGTGTGTGTGTGTGTGTGTGTGTGTGTGTGGGTGTGCTTACCCGCCGTGATGCAGTCAAAGGAGTGTGGGAGCAGGTCGTTGATCTTGCGGCCCTGGTGCGAGGGAGGCCCGCTGCAGTGGATCTGGTCCAGGGTGGCGTTAGTCTCGTGCATCCACTCCACCAGCCACTTCAGCTTACAGTCGCACACCAGGTTGTTCCCACGCAAGTCCCTGCATTCACAACACAACAAGATAAAACAGATAAGATGAAACAAGATAGCCCTCTATTCGTCGCACGGTGGGCAGGGCAGGTGGGGCGGGCAAGAGACGCCTCTGGTCACATTAGGCAGATAAGAATCACTCAGGGTGTGCAAAAAGACAGGAAATGTGGAAATATTACTCTGGACTCATCAATATTGGGACTAACACTGGAATTAAAACTACAGTATCATGTTGTACTCAAAACTAGAATAGGATATTGTCGATTACAGGTCCAAAAGAGCGTCTGAAGCGTGTTTTAACATTCTGTATGAGAGCCTGTGGAGCCAACATCGTTTCCATTAGTGCTTGGTTATTACACATTGTGCTGTCCTCCGTCTCCCTGCAACAGGAGGCCAGACACAAGTATCTGGAAGCTGTCTGCTCTGAAGTGCACTCAAACTGCTGTTGCCCTGGCTCTATGTGCTCTATGTGTGCTCTGTGTGCTCTCTGCATTTGCACAGTGCTATTGTTCCTTCTGGGAAACACACCATCCTCTCCTCAAAGAGTGACAACTTTAGCATTTACACTGCTCTCCTGCCACACACTGCTCCAAACTCCCTCAGCTTCATCCCAGACACACTACACACCGCGCTTCTTATTATGGATCATAGACTGCTCCTTATTATGCTAACGCTAAAGAGTTTAGTAGAGGGTTTAGTACAGAGTTATTGTTCATTTATCTTGTGTCGAGTGCTCCTCATTCCCACTGTTCTGTAACTGGTGATGCATCCAGCTGCATTTTCATAATGTAACTATGTATGACTACATTGTCCCTGTCAAATAAATGAATAAAAAAAAAAAAACACTGAAATTTTCCCACTGTGAGACAAATAAAGGATCTCGTAAACACACTAAAAAAGCCTTAGCATTAGCATTAACATCGCATTACTCATTGGGAGAGTCATGTGGGATCAAACTATAGTCAGTTTACTTTATTTGTACATGATATATTTTGCACAAAAGAGATTCACTTTTTCAACATGTTTGCACATTTCCTGTTTGCACATTTCCTGTCTTTTGCACCTGAGTGATTCTGTCTATGCCAAATGTGTATGTGTAAACCATGTGTACGTTTCTCCACTGTCTCTGTCTGTCACTGGTCTCTGTCACATGTTTAGATCATGTTTTGAGACAGAAACGTGAGTAAAGAGCAGCTCAGTCAGACAACCGTTTCTCACAGAGGAGAAAATAGATTTAAAACATTTAGCAAAACAAAATTATATGTTTTCTAAATCAGAATTTTTTTGTCAGAAATTGTGGTCGGATTTGTTTACGAGAATTACACTTACAAGATACAAAACATAAAAACATATTTAGATTCAAAAACAAATTTAAGACGTAATTTTGCTTCCAATCCATGTTACTTTTACAGCACATTCATACATCAACCAACTTTGATTTGTAGAGCACCTTTCTTACTAAAGGCAACACAAAGCACCACAATAAACATAAACATAGGATTAAAAACAAAGATCACAAGAAATATTAAAAACATAGAAAATAGAAGTAAAAAGCAAAAGTAATTAAAAACATTAAAACATTAAAACATTAAAACACATGGGATTAAAATCATAAATAACCACAGTGCATTTAAAATCCTTCAGTTGTAGCACAGTTAAACAGAACTGCTTTTAACCTGGACTTGAAAACTGTTAGAGATGAAGCCTGTCTCATATTTTCAGGAAGATTGTTCAAGATTTTAGCTGCATAAATCTGAAATGCTGCCTCCACATGGTTAGTCCTTACTCTGGCACCAGCAGGAGGCCAGTCCCTGTGCTCCTCAGAGTCCCAGCAGGAGACCAGTCCCTGTGCTCCTCAGAGTCCCAGCAGGAGACCAGTCCCTGTGCTCCTCAGAGTCCCAGCAGGAGGCCAGTCCCTGTGCTCCTCAGAGTCCCAGCAGGAGACCAGTCCCTGTGCTCCTCAGAGTCCCAGCAGGAGGCCAGTCCCTGTGCTCCTCAGAGTCCCCAGTCCATTCACAGCTGTAAACCCCATCAGACTAAATACAAATCTGGGATAACAAATAAAATGGGGAGAACTCACACTTTGGTCAGCGCCTCCATGCCCCTGAACACATCTTTGGGCAGCGTCTCGAGGTTGTTGTACGCCAGACTCCTGATGAGCAAGAAGAAAATGTTAGTAAAGCACAGTAATTACAGGCGTTTCAAGTGGGTCACATTAGCTCAAGTGGAATTCACACAAAGCAAAGTCAAACGAGGTCGAGGGGGGAAGGAAAACCGGGAAATAAAACCAACAAAATATCTGAAAAGAGCCGAGGAAACACCGACACGGGCCCAACTTGGCGTCTCTTCTAAGTGAGGACTAAATGATATGAAATGACAGCATAATTCATGAGCGATGCATTATTTATTAGATAGTGGTTTTTTGCAAGGAAGCCATTTTGCATTGAATCTGAATGAGACCGAGGCCGAGACCCGGGACAAGATTCCAGCAGGACCCCCGCCTCAGCTGTGTTAATAATGCAACTGTTAATTTAATATTCAGCGATAAAACCAACGACCAGTGAATATATTTAGCAGTGTCACATTTGCATCAAAGAGAGATGAAAGAGCAGAGCTGGCATTAGATTCACTTATCCTTTATATTATTTATTGTTTTTATTTTAATTTACTATATAGACATGGCAACATCTACTTCTTTACCTCTGATATGTATGGCTCTGTACACTGCAAAAAATGAGTGGATTTTGTCTTAATTTTAGCACGTTCTGACTGTCAAGATTCTCCGATGGGACAAAGACATTTAGACTGATTTTAAAAAACTGTTGCTGTATTTTCTTATTCCAAGGGAGACATTTCTATCCCTCAGGTGTGTATACAGTAGTTTATCGTGTCGTTATCACAAAAGGAAGCACAGGGAACTTGTTTTCTGAAGAGGTTTGGTTTGGTACAAAGCAGTGGAAGTCTGCAGAGAAGATTATAGGTCGCTTGGTTTTAGTTTACAGCCCCACGCTTATATTTAGACGTCCTCTCCACTCGCATTTGGAAGTAAGTATATGTTTGGACTTCTGTGGTAAATATTCAGGAACCTTTTAGCGTTTTATATTCTACCATTTGTTCTACACGACTTTCTTCTACTCACTGTAAAAATAGTATAAAGTTAAACTAAACACTTGATGAATAGTACTTGTTTGGGACAGTGCATGTTTATACAACCGTGGGCATTTTTTTCCAATTTTATTTATAATTAATAATCTTGAAGCAAACGGAAGATGAAATAGCCATTTGAAAAAAAAAAAGGGTGAGATAAAATACATTTCTACTTCTTTTATCCATTTATTATCATTACTCTTGTCTTTGAGAATCTTGTTTGGGTTAACTTTTGTAACTCGTCATGAACAAAATGAAAAAATCTAATGAAAAAATCTAAGAAAAAAACCCCACACCTCTCTGGATTGAAGCATTGGGCAATCTCAATCTGTTGTACCTCGAGGATTTCAGAATCTCTCTTTTAGGAAAGTCATGGCCCCAGAGACTGAGGGGGCGGAGTGGGGTCAGGGAGGGTGTTACAGGGGACCATTGTACATGTTTTTAATGAGACGGAAAACCCAGACACGGGGAGAACATGCAAACTCCACACGGAAAGGTCTTGCGGTCAAATCGAACCCATGAACTTTTTGCTGAGCCGCACAAAACACAGCATAAATCTGTATATATATATATGTGTGTGTATTTATGACACATTTATAGACACATTCTAACCACAGACGTCACCTTTAAAGAGACTGATGTCCGTCCTTCAGAAACATGATCCAAATCTACCTCCTGCCAACTGCCTTTGCAAAGTGGCCCCGGCAGCAGCAGCAGCTCAGGGGCACAGCTCTCAGCACAGAGCACACAGCACGGGGCAATCATGGTTCACATCAAAGAGACAAATACTTACAGATGAATGAGTGTTTTTAGACCCCGGAACGCGAATGGAGATATGGACGATATTCTGTTATTTTCAATGAACCTGTAAAACACACACACACACACACAAACACAAACCCACACATTCATTTCATTCATTTCATTCATCCAACCCCCTTTTCGAACCAGGTACAACATAATTTTGTCTGATATGTTGAAATATGTAAATTGCGCAGGTTTGAAAAAAAATAAAAAAAATAATACATAGATACATAAATAAATAAATAAATAAAAACATAAATATATAATAATCCTTGTGTCATAAAAAAAAACACTAGCAATGGTTTAGTGAGAATTAGTGGAATAATGCAACAAAAACAAAAAAATTAAGGTAAATAATCTGCACCTTTACAGAAAACCATACAGACAATATACACACCACTAGTTTTTGTGCCACTTTTTTTATAGGATGCCCATTTTAATCAGTGATTTTAGCAGTAGATAATAGTATTTTAATTGAACAGTTTTACTATGTATTTTTACAATGTTATAATAAATGATTAAAAACAAATAATTATTGTTTTGAATAATCCCTGTATGACTGAGAGCGTACACAAAGTTAGTATAATAAATGTATAGGTTTGTCACTGTCATATAATAAATAAATAAATAAAAAATAATAATAATACTGTGATGTGTGGTGCAGCGATAGAGATACATGTATGATTATAATCTACTGGGATGTCTGACAATTATCACTTACAAATATTCAAGATGTGGTAGTCCCAGGAACGCATCTTCATCAATGAAATCGAAGGAATTTGCTGTGAATAACCTAAAATACACAAAGACATTTCAAATTACTAGCGTGTAAAACTAAACAAACTCACCTCAGGACGCTGGCATAGACCCGTGTAGATATCTCATACAATCTCAGTCATAAAAATCTATAAATGTGCTTGTGTGAATGGTAAATCTCCTTTATAATATTCAATCTAGACTAAAAAGAGGCAGCTCAAAGGACAATGGCCTGATTCTACTGTGTGTGAATGAAATCGCAGAAAAATTGCTGCTTCCTCCCACATGCTTTAGGAAATGAATGGCCGGCCTGGATGTCCACTCCCACACAGATGTTGCTCTGATTCTTTCATCTCCAAATGGCTGGATAATGAGTCTTCATTCTTGTCAGTTCAATGCAATGTTCTTGCTCTTACCGTCGCCACAACATTAAATGATTAGCACTTAGCAGCAGAACGGCCGGGTCACCTTGGCCTAAAGTACCGCTGCTTCAATTCCATTTATTCTTCTACAGCCCTAAATCACAACAGTAGTTATCTCTCGGAGGACTTTACAAAACCGAAATGCAATGATTTAAAAAACACATAGAGCCATTGGTCCATAAGGGGCAGAGACCAATGTCCATAAATGCTGATAAGTGTCGGTAAATGTTGTGTCCTGGATCATCATTTTTTTGACACTTTTGAAGCAATTTTGGTTCAATCTAAGCTCGTCACTCGATGCACAAGGCAGTGATTTTCCACTTCATGTTTTTGTTATCTGAAGTTCTAAGCTACAGGTGCAGACGCTCTGTTGTGGTGTGGATTTTATTTTTGTACTTGATTCTATGTACCTGTGTCTCTCTGTGTCTATATGTACCTGTGTCTCTGTGTCTATTTGTACCTGTGTCTCTGTGTCTATATGTACCTGTGTCTCTGTGTCTATATGTACCTGTGTCTCTCTGTGTCTGTATGTACCTATGTCTCTGTGTCTATATGTACCTGTGTCTCTCTGTGTCTATAATGTACCTGTGTCTCTCTGTGTCTATATGTACCTGTGTCTCTCTGTGTCTATATGTACCTGTGTCTCTCTCTGTGTCTATAATGTACCTGTGTCTCTCTCTGTGTCTATATGTACCTGTGTCTCTCTGTGTCTATATGTACCTGTGTCTCTGTGTCTATATGTACCTGTGTCTCTGTGTCTATATGTACCTGTGTCTCTCTGTGTCTGTATGTACCTATGTCTCTGTGTCTATATGTACCTGTGTCTCTCTGTGTCTATAATGTACCTGTGTCTCTCTGTGTGTCTATATGTACCTGTGTCTCTCTGTGTCTATATGTACCTGTGTCTCTCTGTGTCTATATGTACCTGTGTCTCTGTGTCTATATGTACCTGTGTCTCTGTGTCTATATGTACCTGTGTCTCTCTGTGTCTGTATGTACCTATGTCTCTGTGTCTATATGTACCTGTGTCTCTCTGTGTCTATAATGTACCTGTGTCTCTCTGTGTCTATATGTACCTGTGTCTCTCTCTGTGTCTATATGTACCTGTGTCTCTCTCTGTGTCTATATGTACCTGTGTCTCTCTGTGTGTCTATATGCACCTGTGTCTCTCTGTGTCTATATGTACCTGTGTCTCTCTGTGTCTATATGTACCTGTGTCTCTCTCTGTGTCTATTTGTACCTGTGTCTCTGTGTGTCTATTTGTACCTGTGTCTCTCTGTGTCTATATGCACCTGTGTCTCTCTGTGTGTCTATATGCACCTGTGTCTCTCTGTGTCTATATGTACCTGTGTCTCTCTGTGTCTATATGTACCTGTGTCTCTCTGTGTCTATATGTACCTGTGTCTCTCTCTGTGTCTATTTGTACCTGTGTCTCTGTGTGTCTATTTGTACCTGTGTCTCTCTGTGTCTATATGTACCTGTGTCTCTCTGTGTCTATAATGTACCTGTGTCTCTCTGTGTCTATATGCACCTGTGTCTCTCTGTTTATCTGTACCTGTGCTCCTCCCCTTGTTGCTGGTCCATTGTCTCTGTTTGTCCTCATCTGTCAGTTTCCTGGTTCACGTGTTCCATTGGATTCAGAATTTTGTATTTTTAACTTTTATTTTATTAAGTTCCTGCCCTTGACTTTTACGCTACATTAAATTATATATTTTTTGCATTCCCGCATTTTGGGTCCTTCCATTTCTTCCATGATGCTCCTGGTATAAAATCACGTGCATTTAGCAAAACTCAGTCCGTGTCGTCTTTACCATCGACAATAAAACGTCGTCTGTTGGACACCATTCTAAACCTCTGCATCTCTCATTCTCCACAATCTCCACTAAAACCACTTCACTGACTGTCATCTCCATCACACGGCCTGTCCCTCTCGCCTCCAGCCCACACTTCTTGTTTGGACTGATTGATTCGGATTTCTTTGTGCATATGTTAGTCGCAAATGCCATGGAAAAATATCTAAATGGAGAGTTTTGATGCTTAGTGACAGAAAGCTATTCTGTGCAGCAAAAGGACAGAGATTAGACACCACCTATAATCACACTTACTCCCTAACAGAGCTCACGGTAATGTAAGAAACATGCATTATTATCATAGAGGTGTTAGAAAGGTTTGATGGACTGAATCACTTTGGCAATCATCGCTAAATACTTTTTCAGAAAGAAAAATAGGTCTCATTTTTGGGCCTGTATCATGAGCATGTGGTTTGTATACGCTTTTCATTGACTTTGATGGAGGAAAACAGTAAAAATAACCATGGTTACGACTAAACCGTAAACTATTTCAACACAAGAAGTCATTTGTGGAAAGGTTGTTTTCCTCCAGCTACAATCTTCATCCTGTTTTCTTATTGGCTGTACAGGAGTTTGCTCGATATGGGATGAAGCTATTTGTATGCCACTAAGAAAGATCTGGATTTTTTAAGAACTTGGTAAAACAACTTGGTAAAGGAGACAGTGGACGCTTTTAAATATGAGGTATAATGGCACTGTTGAACTGTTCTTTTCGTCAGCCTCATCGCATCATTACCTGAATCATATTTCTATATTATTTGGAGACAAACAAAAACAGAACAATAGTTGTTTCTAGTCTTTTTTTTAAATTGAAATCACTATTTGGCCCAAAAAATTACTTGAGACTAATGATACATGTCCCATCCACATTAGGTTTTTAGGGCTGTCTATTCCTTCTGTATAATGTGTTTCACTGTAGGGAAAAGCTGAACCAGGGACAGGAGTTAAAAATGATCATTAGCTACACACTCTGTGTCGCATCAGTTGCATCTTTCATGCTGTAACTATGTATGACCACATTCTGTCAAATAAATAAAAATTAAATTATGTACATGTCAGGGAGCATGCATTTAAACTAATACCCCCAAATCAATCCATCCAAGCCTGTGTCTGCAGAGGGATGATCTGAGACAAACATTTTGGTTTGTATTTCAATTTTGCAACTTCACAACATTATAAACGGACTCATATTCGAACTTTTCCAACGAAAATGTGATGCATATGGAGTTATTTCCTCCGCATCTCCTGCTGTTTGTTTGTGTACAGCCATGTGCTCCATTCTGTTGCATAATACTGACACCATTAAAGAGAATCCTCCTTTAAAGAAGCCTCAAAGCAAACCCTTTGAGAAGATCCGGCCTCATTGTTTTGCTGATGGGAACCACCAACAAAGACTGATATAAATACTCTCAAAGTAAATAACTAGAAAATCTTGTAATGTTTTGCATTTTGACTTCAGTACAAGAAATCTGCAGAAATATGAAATCCTTTTGTATTACCTGGACTGATGATGTGTGGTGGGGTAGTACTCACAGCAGTTGCAGGGCAGGTGTATGGACAAAGCTCCCAGCTGATATTTCATTGAATCCTGACTTGACAAAAGATCTATCGAAATACATTGGGGCAAACAGTCATTTAACAAAAGAGGAAAGTACTATTTTGGACATAAGTAAATGTTTTAGCTTACAGAGAAACGACGTCACTGGGGAAAGTATGTGGCACAGATCGGACATTCTCACACAGTGCATTGTCCTTAGTGCAGGAGCATCCTATGGGACACCGCGGCTGCCTCAGTCTCCGTCCGTCAGCGAGAACCAAGCACGCAGCAGCAACACAAACCAAGAGCGTCCACCCTACTCCCCATCTCTTCTTGGGATATCCCATACTCTTTGATGCGCTCCGCTCCGCTCTCTGCTTGATAGGAAATCCCCTGCAAACCAATTCACACGCAACTTCACCAACAAAACCGCGCTAACTGTTTCCGTCCCGTTTTGTTTATAATGATGAGCCTTTGCGCGCTGCTTGGCTGTGCGTCCTGAGTCTCAATAGGAAGGCTCCAGTCCAGTGGATTCGTTCTGCAAAGGGCAGGATTACCAATGCGGGACAGACATTATAACATAGCCCACTAAATTCCCCAGGGAGAGAAAGAGAAAGACAGAGAGGGCGAGAGACGGAGGGGAAGGGGGGAGACCCTCTTAAGGTGCGCTTTTTTATAGGCGCACGCTTTGCTTTAAGCCTATTTATGCGCGCCTGAGAGCTGTGAATGGATAATGAGCAGCTTCAATTCAAGAGGCGTTTTACAAATGCACCTGCCTCATTTTATCAAGTGCTTTCATCTCTTCTTTGGAGCAACCGGGGCATGATCTGAAGAGGAGAAATAATGAGCAGGCTAAATTACATAGGCCTTATGTTGTTGTTTTAAAAGGCCTATTAGGATCTTGCTATAATAATAATAATCATACTACTACTAATAAAATATTTTTAAATCTGAAACTAATATGCCTTAAAAAGCACAAAGGATATTTGCTGTGTTGTGCGGTTGTCCATGTGGTCCGTGTCCATTTGAGGTTCTTTTCGTCTTGTTCTTTGGATTTCAATTGACTGCTTTGTTGAGTGCAAGTGGGACGAGGATGAAACAGTGGACGTCTGTTTCTACACTGTGAACTTTCCGCCCCGCCACCTCTAATAACCCGAGCTCTCGTTTACCACGCATTCCCATAGGCTTTTGTGCGCATTTGTTATTATCATTTCGAGTTTCTCACATTATCTTATCACCGCGACGAGACACTAAACAACACATACAAGGACCCAAACAATAGTATATTCTTACTAATACCACCTAAACGTATACGAATACATTTCCAAGCGTTATTCTACGTTTACTGTTGTTGTACGTCACCGATTTGCGACGCTTCCAGTACGTCATCAGAAGTGGACGCGGCTACTCCGATGTAAACAAGACGAAGCTAACGGCAAAGAGCTACATAAAATAGAGACCTACGATGGAAGATCTGGTTAAGGTGCTTATAATCGTGAATACCTGCTTCACTCGGACCATAAATGTGACATGTTGGGGTTTTTGTAGCGACATAAAACCATAGATTCATGGATAAAAGGCATTTAGCTGTAATGTTGAATGCTAATGTTTACCTAGCGTCGTGTTTACGCCTCTACTACATCTGTGCATCACACAATCACGTTTTAGAGACATGTGTTAAGCCATAATACTGTTTACCCCCTTCCCTTGGTAATGGTTGGAAATATACATATTATAGCGGGCCCTAACTTATTATTGTAGAATTGAAAAACTGTTCAGCAACGTGTTTTAAGAAAATGTAAAAATAAGACGTAAGTGGTGACGTGATCCTCATGTCCAAAAATGGCACAGACCACGAAAGACTCCCCTTTACTGTAGATACCGCCGAATAAAAGCAGTCTTGATGGATCATGTCTCAGAAGAATGCATGTGTATTACTTTTACCACACCATCAGAGGTTACAAAACTTTCACATGGTCTTATAAACGGGTCATGCATCGGTGCAATGTATTGAACTAATGTCAGAATGTGCAATATAGAACCACAAGTGTCACTGTCACTTTACTCACTCACCACTATCATCTGTGCATTAATAACCTGGCAGAATGAACCACATGTGTCCACTGTCACTTTACTTAGTTACTTTGTCCCAGACCCTCGTGCTGCTAACATGGACAGATTCATACATACAACTATATATTTCTTGCCCACTTTATACTTGCTTATTATTATGTCAAAAGTAGAGATTTTATAATGATTCATTATGCTAAATTAAGTAAGTAAGTTATGTTATTTCCAGTCAACACCATCCATTCATTCACTCAGTACATTCAGACCTATTATACATGTTTTTATATGAAACCAGAGCACCCGGAGGAAACCTAGGCGAACACGAGGAGAACTCCACACAGACAGGCCTGAAGGTAGAATCGAACCCAGGACCTTCTTGCTGTGAAACACAAGCTAGTTTTTGTACCTGTAGTGCTAAAGATATAGATTTTATACTTGTTTCTTTATAATATATATATTATATTTTATTTAGTATATAGTTATTGTTCATTTTATCTTGTTCTGTGTGCTCTTCATTCCTTCTGTTCTGTAACTGGTGATGCAACACTGACACACAAGCACAGATATCCTGACGCCTCTGTTTGTCTTGTGACGTGGACTGTAGATTGGAAAAACTGAGCCCAAAATCCAGTACAAGATGCAGTTTAATATAATGGCATAAAAGTAAAGAATTCTATCTTAACAATGTGTTTCCTCAGGTTCATGGAAGTGGTGGCTATGACTCAGACTTCAGTGATGAAGATGGTCAGGGAGAGTCGTCTGAAAAGAATCTCAAAAGGTAGATAATCACACATCATAATATTTGGATTCAGCTTTAAACTGGGAATGTTTGACCATTTATTTTCTTTCAGGAAACGTGAAGAAGAAATCCTACAGAAGCCATTTGAAAAGAGCAGACATTCTCAAGTGGCTCACAAGAGTTACCACACCAGTGAGATTGACAGGTAGATATCACAATACGACTCATCATTCACCATAAGGTCTTAAAAGCATTGAATGTAGTGATTGGAAATAATACCGTAGACAAAATCATGAAATAGTTTTGTATTTTGTGCAGCGTGTAACCTCTGTGTATCGCATTATCCTCATGAGTTTCATTTTCCAACCACTTTTATGTCGACTAAATAACATACACAGACACCGACACAGACCAGAGGCGACTATTCAAGCAGGAGCAAAACAGGCCTGTAGATCTTTATACTAGGCCATGGTAGTTATTTATTTATTCATACATTATTAGATATTATTTAGAGATTATCTTAAACTTGAATTTGATTTGAATAAAGTCGTTGGGACTCTGTTTATTATAGTTTTTTAATATTGTGACCAATAAAATGTGAAGAAATTTGCCAGATTCACTTTTTTCAGAAGGTCAAACAATCAGTAACTTTTTGACCACTTTTTAAAGCATTTTTTTTTCTTTCCCGATCCCCTTTTGTGAACAAACTGGTGAACCTTCAGTAGTATTTGGCAGTTTCCCACTCCCAACACAATACAGATCACATGGCATTCACTAATCATATTGACATATCATTCACCTTCTACCTGATATTATTGATTCTAATGGACAATCTACTAAACTGTAATTGTATAACTTGTTACTCATAATTAATAAATCACTGAAAAATAGTCTCTCTAAATCAGGGATCTCCAACCTGTGGCTCTGGATCTACCAGTAGCTCGACAGCCCCTTTCAGGTCGCTCGCCAAAGGATTTAGAATTTTGCAAATGATCTTTAATTAATACTTTTTGAGCCATTACATATGTACTATAGGTATTGGGTTATACAGCATTATGGTATATGTATGTGTTCTCCATGTTTTGTCGTAACTATTGGATAGATTTTTAATAGGACTGTAATTGTTGATTGAAAAAGGTTGGAGACCCCTGCTCTAAATGAACTCTCTTGTGTTTCAGGGAAGAAGCTCGAAACAGAAGAGCTCACCTAATATCTTTAAATGCTGTATCCTTTTTATGACTTCAACTCATGTTTTTTACAAGTATGTATGTGTTAATTTCATTGTTTGTTATGAAATCCCTGACCACTCTTACAGTTTGAGCGACATAAAAAGTTTGTCGCCGACTACATTCTGTATTACGGCGGAAAGATGGCCGACTTCAAACGTTCTGCGTAGGTTTTTCTCACTTTTCCATCATTTGCTGATTCTAAATATAGAAGCAACGACAATGTTAGATTCTTGTACGAACGATGAGCCTGAACCTTCCTCTGTCCATAGAGCCAAAGACAAAACCGACCATGATGTCATCCGAGAAAACCATCGCTTTCTGTGGAGAGACGAAGACGAGGAGGAGATGACTTGGTGATTACGATGCTTGGGATATTTTGGTTTGAAAATAAGCAAGTTTGGCGTAATCTCTGTGATTATTTATGGTTTTAATGCCTTGTCTGTGACTGTTTTCTGCACTTTGAGTCGCCTTGTGTATGAACTGTGCCATACCAATAAACTCGACCTTGTGTTTCTGGTTTCAGGGAGAAAGATTTAGCCAAAAAATACTACGACAAACTGTTTAAAGAATACTGTATCGCAGACCTCAGCAGGTATAAAGAGAACAAGGTGAGTCTGGACATAGACCTTTTACTCTCAGTGATTTTATGATTATATTTTGTTCTATTATATGTTTTTAAGTGATAATAAACCTTTTCTGGTGTCTTGAAAGATATTTATGGTTCAGTTTGTGTTAGATGCAGAACTGGACCAAACAGAGACTTAAAAGCACTTTTGCATTGTCTATGTGTTTTTTCTGCAACATTCCTTTACCTGTTTATCTGATCTTGTCTTGTGCAGGTTTGAAAAAAGTAATTTAAACAAGAACTATAACGTTGAGAAATGTTTTGTTTGTTTGCTTGTTTTAAGTTTGGATTTCGCTGGAGAACAGAAACTGAAGTTGTCTCTGGAAAAGGTATGAAAGACAAGTCCACAACCAGATTACACAAGAGGCACTGTTTGGTAGTGCTTATGTTTTTAAAGTTGGGGTACATAACTTTATTTGTTCATAACTAAAGATGTAGATATGGGAGGGTTTTCTTCTGGGTGGATCACCTCTAGACTATTGGTCGTCCTAGTTGTCAATCATTCTGGTGATATGCCTGGTGATATGTTTTAAAAGGCGGTTCTTTCCTAAAATGTGTGAAAATCCTCCTACATACCTAATAAATCTTAATTCATGCTGTTTATCCACGACAAAAAGAGTCTAGTGAAAGTACATCTGCGAAAAATCAGACCAAAAATTCAGATTCAGAGATGTTATTTTTTATTAATGAAACGCCCCTTTTGAGTCAGTATATGTGAAATTTTGTGATACCATCAAGCTGTTTTAGAGCCAAGAACTAGTTACATCAATTTTTATATATAGGGATATTTTTGTGGTTTGAAAGTTAGGTAGCCGAGCTTTAAACAAGAACGTACTGTGCTTGTTCCATTATGCAGTACTCCTCTGTGTCCACTGGATGGCAACAGAGATGCACCAACGTCACTTAAACTCCTGCATGAGGTCTTTCAGGCTCCTTTTATTCCTCTTACCTCTTACCTTCCTCTTACCTTTTCTGTCTGTTTTCATTTTCTCGAACCCTTTTAATATTTGACCTTTCATTTTCTTGTTGACCTATCGCTCCGGCCTCTCGGGGAGCCTGTGAGAAATTGATCTGTTGATTCTCAAAAGCTGTGTCTAACATTTAGAGCCCATTCCTTTGCACTTACACACTCACTGAAATCATCTCTGTTTAAGGAGGATGAAGATTAGATAAGATATACTTTATTGATCTCACACCAGAGAAATTTACACTGAATCTGAATTACAGTACATTAGGAACACCTGTATACAAACCACACCAGCTACATTAAAAAAAGAAAGTAATTCCCCCCCCCCCCCATATACATTATCATCTAACTCAATCCACTTTTATAAAAAGTTTCCAAAGTGCTGCACAGAGATCAAAGTAACACATCATAGTAAACAAGAAAAGTGGGAAAAAGTAGATAAAGTGACATTCAGTGGACTTTCAAAAATGTTAGTATTGCACATAATGATGAGGTGTCTGTGAGCTTACATGACTCATTCACAGATCTACTTTGACAATAATTGTGTGTCCTATACTAGCTACCATAGTAAAAATGTCCATAGACTCCATAGACAATAAACATACACAAATCACCTGCATCACTATCACAGGTTTTACAGAAGTAGAAAAATAGTAGTGGCTCTGGAAGTTATGGTACTATTTTTATTTGTCGTCTGTATGCTTCATCTTGGATTGGCCTGAATCTAAATGAGTGTTTTCTGATCGTCTTCTGACTGGTACTAACACTTCCTGCTATAACACTTCATACACACCCCCAGTATGTCTGAGCGCGCTCGCTAAGCCAATATATTGTTCCAGATTAAGAGTGTGTAATCCTGGTCTCTGACAGTTCAAACCCAGTGGTTATACCTTTCAGGACCCTGGATTAGATTAGGACACAGGCACCTGATTTACACCACCACCTTTGTCACTCGCTTTCACAGTGATGAGTCCTATCAAAATATTTTCAAGCAGTATTTATGGTATACTCTTGACTCTCTTGCTGAAATTAATACCAATCTCAGACCTGGCACCCTTCACCGAGGAGGATATTAGTGCAAAGTGGACGCTCATGTGTTTGGATTGCATCCTTAAAAACAGATTTTGATTTGATTAGATGTACATTAATGAGCTAGATCTGAAATAACCGTCTGTTGATAACAAATGCATTATTAAAACAGAAAGACAGAGAGGAAGCGGGGAAGTTTTGACAGTGGTAGCCTTGGTAAACGCAGCACACACATAAAAACGTCTTTCTAACTTATATATTTTTGTATCCGTCATATCTGTTTCTCCGCACACCAAAATAAGATCATTATGTAGTTTATAGACTTCAGATCGGATTGTTCCGGCTGTGACTGTTTCGACCTAGGAAATGTTTGTGAACGGGCCAAAGATGTTTAAAAGTTTATTGGAGGATTTTCCCAATTTTGAGGAAAGATCAAGATCTCCAATTTTTTAGAAAAACTCTTATTTGAGGAGCATGTATCACCAGAATCATTGACACTTGGGTGGACCAATAGTCTTGATGATCCACCCGGAAGTAGAAAATCCTCCTGTATACCTTTAAAGTGATAGTCTGTAACTCTAAATGAATTACACATTTTAGGAAATGTATTAAATTGACCTCCTGGCCTTAAATGTTGATATAAAATAAGTCATTTTATTAATTCTAATATTAAGGGTAAGTCCCGCCTTCCCTTCTCTTAGCTATAGCTAGAAATCCACGATGCCGTCAAGGTTAAAGTGGTTCTCACCCCCGCTCCTCACGGCCTACGTCACTCACACTTCCTTTTCAAAATCTCCCTCCAAATGGGCGTAGCCTGGAGGGCTGAAGGGGACAGGCGGGGGGGTGAATGTTGGGCGGGTCTAAGCTTTGAGTGACACTTGACATCAGCATTGGCCGTGTCAATGATGGAGAGTGAACACAGCGACGCCAGCTCCACAGCTTCTGTGCGGTCTTGGGAGGTGGAGGACTTCTCTCCACCGTCCTCACCGGAGGTTGAGAGAGAGGAGGCAGACAGTGGCCCTCAGCCCTATCAATTTGAGCCGCTAGCGCGCGAGCTAGCTAGCGCCACCGGGGGAGCCGATGCTGCAGAGGCAGCGGAGGCAGCAGACCGCCACAGAATGGGGCCTGTTTCTGAATGGTATATATAGATTTGAGAGGGGAAAAAAATACCCACTGCTTGTTACAGGTCTTGAAGAGCAATCATGTAGGGATCCGGACCACGAAATGCTAACCTGTCTGAATTGAACCTTTTGAGAAGAGTGGGAATTTATGTAGCCTAACACATTCCCATACAGTAACCCCTTATGTTGCGTTGCTTTGCTAGACAGTTTTGTCTGTACATTATATTTATGAACCCAGACCAAGATAAACTATATGTTGTGGGACCATATAGTTATATTATAAACTCTGCTACAATAGGTGCACCTGCGGCCACTGCACATCCCTGTCCCCAAGGGAAAACGTGTGCTGCATGGAAACCCCGAAGGTATTTATACCCCAAGTAATGTGCACAAAAGAAACAGTAATTTAACACACGCTCTAACATCTTGACTACACTAGTCTCGGCCCTTACTTATTAATTCAATTTCCGTCTGTCATAGGTTATGCACAGATGTCAGCAGGTGGGTCATGCCACCTGCATAACCCAGCACCCTGGATTTGAGCCAGTGGCTCTAAATCCGTACGTGCTCCAAGCAGTACATGCTACTTACATGCAGCTGTTTGGAGACATGCCTGAGACCATGCTCAACAGGTTAGTTTAGTATGATTATGTGTTAGCTCCTTACTAAAAAACAAAATCCACGTTTTATCTTTCTTTCAGCTGTTACAGATTTCTGGCATACAGGAATTTTGTCCGGTGGTGCTGGGGTTACTTAGGGCAGCATATCCGTGTGGTCATCCCCTCCTGTGCTGTGAGCAGGATAAGATGCCAATTCCCAGAACATGGAGAATACACTGGATTCCTCCCACCACTGCAATTTGTGTAGTTGCATAATGTATTGTTTTATTATAGTTTTACATGTTATTTTAATAAATATCCTCCAAATACAAATATCAAAAAAGAATTGCAGTAGTTAGTTATTGGTCCATTATAACACCTTTCTTGGTATCAATTTGAAATCATGATTGCATGCTCCACTCAATATCTAAGCAGGCAGCTTTTGGAAGATGTGCTGCACCCCTAACAATAAGTGTTTTTGTAGTTGCAGTGTCAGCAGTAAGGGACTTTAGTTATTACAGTGACAACTTTGAGGTGCAAGTTATCATAAACAAACAAAGTATTTTATTAACAAATACCTATAACAGAATAAAAGTCCTTTATGTAAAATGGATAAATCATTTGCAAAGGAAGCATAAATTAGAGCTTGATTACATACAAAAAAAACATGGACTGTCCATTGTCCATGCCACCTATTTGTCTGGTCCTTCAAAATAGACAAAATAGTTCAGCTTGTCAATGTAGTCAAAATAAAAGGAAAAAAATTCTCCTCATAATACTTATAAGCGTCATGCTAATTTGAATATATGAAGTAGGGTTGGTCTTGGCTCTCACAGTGCAGCCTCCACGCTTGAGTTTTAGATTAGCCTTTTTTAATCATAATTCAAGACACCAACCTGCACCCTGTAATTGAACAACAAAATCATTAATATACACAGTATGTATTCTACCCTGAACATTTCAAAGCTATGAAATAACTCAAGTCAATATTATACCTGGCCAGCATTACTTGGAATAAGGCTGCAAAATGCCTCAATATGCAAAGTGTGGTATCGTGATCTTATTTTAGTTACAGCTTTCAAAAACTGGTGTTAAAAAAAATCTAAAGAGTCTCTCACATGCTGCTGTGCCTACATGGAATTATACAGAATTACAAAGAATAATACATTGATATGGCAAGTGTAAATATATCAATATAAATTAGATATAGGGATAAGAACTTGTACTTACACACTTGATTTTGGCCACACTCTCGCATCCCCAACCAAGGCCTGTGAAGACATTGAGTGTACAAGTCTCTTTCCTTTAGTGTGGACATTCTGAATGTAATTTCCCACAGATGTCCACAGCCTCGTCAACCTGAGGACTTTGATGGCGATCAGTAGAGATGGATCATGTAAATGGTTTACAACACCTCATCACCTCGTCATTTTCTCAGTTCACCTTCTCTTGCCCAGTTCTGCATTTCTTTCCGATCACTGGGACAACCAACAAAGAATATATATATATATATATATATATATGTTATTATTTTTTAACATGACATACAATTACATCATCTCTTTGCCATACAACATGATCCAAGTCACAACTTTCTTAAAATCTGTATCCAG